GTCAAGTCGAACGTGAGCAACTGAAGGGGAACTAAATCCAGATCTATTATTTTTCCCGGTATTTTTAAGTCCCCGCGATAACAATATCATGCATATTCATTACCGCGATTTATCGAATTACCGAATGCTATTTTAAAGTTTCCTAATGTTGTTGTGGAGTCTCCTACAACATGTTCACATGCATCAAAGTAAAAAAAAAAACGGTTTAATTTCCTCATGATATATAGGCTACATTTGCACATCACATTTTCAATGATTCTCAAACGACTCGTCAAATGAATCAATCTCTTTAAATCCCTCCTTTCCGCGAGCTACTCTGCTCAGATTGGCCAGACAGCTCAGTCTGTTGGGACTGGCCTACCGTGTACAGAGCGTCGGGAAAAAACCCGAAAAAAGTGTTTCGGACTACTCAGTCAGTGAGGTACATTATAAGATGTTGCAATTGTAATTCATCACTATCAGCATTAACAAGTGCATGTCCATCAACAAACCAATTATTTTACTTGTACTAATTTATTTACAGAGTATTTTTGTAATATATTGCGGTGAACACGTGGAAACTATCAATAACAGTGCATGCAATGTAGGTACATTAGCCGAGACCTAGAATGAATGATCTTATGTAACATAAATATTAATATAAAAAATATTCCCTTAAAAGTAGTCAGAACGACAGACAATCTGCATTAATTTAAAGTGGCCCACAGCTGATCAGCAAAAATATTTCAGTAAGACAGTAATTATGTGAGTTAGCAGGAGACCTACACAATATAAAACTCAAAACTTAGTTTTTTTGAACACCATCTTTCAAGAGCAAGCGGTTTGCGAATCCTGCAATAAATTAGCTACGTGATAGCTACGATTAGCTACGTGATTAGTGACGTCATAGACCAGGAAACTATAAAGCACCCCTGAAAACAGACCGCAGCAGCTTCTGTTGCCTTCAGCAAGCGCTCTCTGTGAATCTGTCCTTGTCTATTGTTGTCTGTCAAGCACTTTATATTCATTGATTTATCAGTATGGCAAGCAAGCAAGATTACAAACGTTGTTGTTCCCTGCCCTCGTTTTATTACGGGTGGGGACACACATCAGATGTGTGTTGCTTGTTTGGGAGTGGAGCATGCCCAGTCGGCCCTCGAGGGAGCTGACTGTGAGCATTGCATGAGTTTGTCCATGAAAACTCTCCGCTCTCGCCGGGCGTTCTTTGAGGAGGATGGTTCGGTTCGCGTACCCCAAGGTGCGGGTCCCGCTGCTGCCGAGGCACTGTGGCGGCGTGCATCTTGGGGTTCGCAGATGGATCTAGTAGCGGGGTTTGAGACGGGGTTTGCCCTTTCTCAGCCCTTACCTGCTGGATCCGGTGTCTCAGCCCAGGAAGGAGCCCGCTCGGCGGTTTCTCCTCCCCAGGTTGAGGCACCAATGTTGCGGCTATCCAGTTCTGAGGAACTGGATGTCGTTGATATGGGGGAATTTGAGTCTTCGCCAGCTCATACCCCTGCTGATGAGGAGCTCATGGAGGTCTTATCTCGTGCTGCTGCTAAATTAAATATCGACTGGCCAGCTGATGATATTGATGTGGAATCTAGAAAGAGTCTTTTAGATGAACGTTATTTACCATCTAGATCACAACCTCCTCGTCGGGAACTCCCGTTTTTTCCCGATCTCCACACCGAGGTGTCGAGATCGTGGAATAAACCGGCGTCTTTCAGAGTGCATAATCCACAGACTAGTAATTATTGTAAAGTTAAAGGGATTGATCTCTATGGTTACTTGACGATGCCTCGTGCGGAAGAGACGCTTGCGAGCTATCTCTCCCCCGAGTCATCGTCATCAATGAAAGCCCCGACGTTACCCACCAAACCATTAAAGAATACATCATTGCTGGTGGGTAAAGCGTATTCGGCAGCAGGTCAGGCCGTGGCATGCTTACATACCATGTCAATTTTACAAGCATACCAGGCTGACCTGCTGAGGGACATGGATGATTGTGAGGAAGTTAGTGCTGATGCAATTCGAGAACAGACCTGTCTCTCCGGGCCACCAAGTAGACGGCCAAATGGTGCCCTGGTGGCCACGGAGCGTCATTTATGGTTAAATCTGTCAGATATTAAAGACAAAGATAGGTCTGTCTACGAGCTCCGCACACAGGTTCCAGCAGAAACAGACCATCGCCGCTCGGGCTCCTCTGCTATCCGGGGTTCCTGAGTGGCGTTCGCAGTCCAAGCCTGTTGGGGGTAGACAGGATCTGAGGATTGTCATCTCCAAGAGAGCTTTGACTAAGAAGTCCTGATGCTGAGTCTGTCAGGCATCTGAGGGTGGTCCCCTTCAGGGAGGAACGATTCCGAGGAACCGTCCCTCTTTGGCGCCTTCCGGGGGGCGATTCTCCGAGGAGAGTTGCAGCGCTGCCACGTCGGTTGTTCCCTGCCGGTTCGCCGTTTCAGGGCACCGAGGTGTCAGCGTCCCCGTGCAATCCTCTGAGGAGGGTTGTAGAATGGTCAGTTCGGTTGTTCCCTGCCGGTTCGCCGCTTCAGGGCGCCGAAATGATTGTTCAATCAAATCCAGAGGCCAGTCTCGAGAGACTGGTTCCCTTATCAGAATTTCTGGCAGCGTGGAAACTTCTGCCAAATATTTCTATATGGGTCCTGCACATAATAGAAAAGGGTCACAGAATTCAGTTCGGTTCTCGTCCGCCCAGATTTCAAGGGGTCCTTCCCACAGTGGTGGACTCACAGCAGGCTCTGGTTATGGAGCAGGAAGTACTGACACTTCTTCAAAAAGGAGCTATAGAGGGGGTGCCTCCTCCCAGCAGAGAGTCAGGGTTTTACAGCCGTTACTTCATTGTTCCAAAGAAGGATGGAGGGTTGCGTCCTATTCTAGATCTGCGCCATTTAAACAGCAGAGTTCAGAAAGTCAAGTTCAAAATGCTTACACTCAAGCAGATTGTATCACAGATTCAGTCCGAGGACTGGTTTGTCACAATAGACTTGAAGGACGCGTACTTCCATGTATCTATCCATCCTCATCACAGGAAGTTCCTGAGGTTCGCTTTCGGGGGTAAAGCATACCAGTATCGGGTTCTTCCGTTTGGCCTAGGTTTATCACCCCGCACCTTTACAAAATGCGTGGATGCAGCTCTGGCTCCTTTGAGACTCCAGGGCATTCGCGTATTAAATTGCATCGACGATTGGTTGATTTTAGCTCAGTCAGAGCAGTTGGCAGTTCAGCAATCGAGATGTCGTTTTGTCCCACATAAAGGGTTTGGGGTTGCGGCTCAACATCAGAAAGAGTGTTCTCCTCCCTGCTCAGAGGAACACTTTTCTAGGTGTAATTTGGGATTCGACCACAATGCAGGCACGTCTGTCTCCTGTTCGTATTTCTGCGATTCTCATAGCCGTAAAGAATGTAAAACTAGGCCAGTCACTCACTGTGAAACAGTTTCAGAGACTGTTGGGACTCATGGCAGCGGCGTCCAACGTAATTACTTTTGGCCTGCTGTACATGAGACCCCTGCAGGGGGGGCTTAGAACCAAGGGGTTTTCTCCGAGGGGAAATCCGTTCCGCAAGATCAAGGTCACGCGGCTATGCCTTCGTGCCTTGGTCATGTGGAAGAAACCTTGGTTCCTGCCCAGGGCCCAGTGCTGGGGGCTTCTTGTCGACGCGTCACGCTTTCGACGGATGCTTCCCTCACGGGATGGGGGGCGGTCATGAGTGGCCGCTCGGCGCAAGGTCTTTGGCAGGACCATCAACATTCCTGGCATATAAATCGTTTGGAGATGATGGTGGTATTTCGAGCTCTCAAATATTTCCTGCCAGACCTGAGAGGCCATCGTGTCTTGGTCTGCACGGACAACACATCGGTGGTCTCCTATATCAACCATCAGGGGGGTCTGAGGTCACGTCACCTTTGCAAGCAGGCCCATCAGATCCTCCTATGGGCCCAGGGGAAGTTGCTATCTCTCAGAGCAGTGTACATTCCGGGGCGTCAGAATGTGGGAGCGGATATCCTGTCGAGGCTGGGGCTGAGGCCCGGGGAGTGGAGACTTCACCCCGAGGTGGTGGAGCTCCTGTGGGAGAGATTTGGCTGAGCTCATGTAGACCTTTTCGCATCGTCAGATTCAACCCATTGTCCCATGTGGTTCTCCCTCACGCACCCAGCTCCTCTCGGACTGGATGCGATGGTGCAGGTGTGGCCGAGGCCGCACCTGTATGCATTCCCCCCGATATCTATGCTTCCGGGGGTTCTGGAGAGGGTTCGCCGGGAAGGGGCTCGTCTGCTACTTATAGCCCCTTACTGGCCGATACTGGCCATAGTGGGTATGGGGTTCCCACCGCGTCTCAAACGCAGCTCGAGTTCCCTTGAAAGGGAACGTCTCAGGTTACATATGTAACCCTGGTACCCTGATAGGTAAACGAGACGCTGTGTTTATCTGCCATACTTCCTGCATGCCCTGATCGACTTGCTTCAGGCCTTTCAGAAGCTATCGCGGTCTGTTTTCAGGGGTGCTTTATAGTTTCCTGGTCTATGACGACACCTATGACGTATCGGGCTTCCATTGGACTGATTTTACACGTACTTCATGACGCAATCACGCAGAGCGTTCCCACCGCGTCTCAAACGCAGCGTCTCTTTCCCTATCAGGGAACCAGGGTTACATACGTAACCTGAGACGTTTTCCCAGGTCTCTGCGTGTGCGTTGGCGGGCAACATACTAATGTTTCGTCTTGACGTCACGACGAAACGGCTTATGACTCGTTTGAAAAACGATTCATTTAATTGACTCAGAGTCGACTTTTACTTTTGAAAGACAATAACTTAACGTACGGTGCACTTTCAGATTTAAAACTTTGCAGGATGTTTCCATTCACTTAGCGCTATATGTTACACACTACATGAAAGGTCATTTTCAAAAATCCATAATAGGATTACTTTAAAAGTACAAGGCCAGCCACATACGTAAATTTATTTTGTTTGAAACCTTAATGGCTGAGATGTGAAGACTTACCTCACTGGGCTTTCTTTTAATTTGTTGCTTTCTGTTTTCTTCCCTGTGCACCAGAGGGTTTAGACCGCCTCATTTCCGATCAAAGCGCCAGCAGCTGAGCACTTGCCTAGCGTAACGCAACCCCCCTGTTGGGAAATGATCGACAATAATCATCAATTCAATCTAATTATCAGATTGACAAGTAATTAAACGTGTAGCTGAGGGGGCACCTTAGGATCATCATGTTTAATAAACATGTTTTTGTTCCGCTTGTCATTCTAATTCTGTGATTAAAGCTGCAGTAAGGAGCACAACTTACAGGTCCCACCCCCTTGCTCTCTGCTGCGCTACAGCCATCCCTCCACAGCTCCTCCCTCCACAGCTCCTCCCCCACAGCGGAGCCTGCCGTGAACGCGCAGGCTAGTAAGCAGGGCCACCGATGACGGCGGATAAACAGTTATGGCACATTCACTAGTAGGGACGAAACATCAACAATATGCTTTACATTGACTAAGGCCTGCCCATACTTTGACTACAAACTTGGTCCTCAAATCATTACGTAATTTGCAATACATGTAATGTAACTTTATAACGTTGCTGCACCCTTTCCATAAGTTATAAATAGCTAGTAAGATAATATAACGGTAACTAACGTAACAGTATGTAAGTAATTATTCTAGCGATATGTAGGCCTAATGCTAGATAAGGTTTGCTAGTACATTTATTTCAGCAACATGACAAGCCAAGGCAAGGCAAGTTTATTTATATAGCACATTTCATACACAATGGTAATTCAAAGTGCTTTACATAGGAGAAAATAAAATAATCAAAACAAATAAGAATAATTAAAACAGTTTAGAATAAAAAAAAAAGAAGTACAGTAAAACCAGTCGGACGAACAGTTGCACAGTGCTCATTCAGTAAATGCATAGCTAAACAGATGTGTTTTGAGTCTGGATTTGAATGTGACTACTGTAGGAGCACATCTGATCTCCTCTGGAAGCTGGTTCCTGCTGCGGCTGGCATAATAGCTAAAAGCGGACTCACCATGCTTAGAGTGAACCCTTGGTATTTCTAGCTGATGTGATCTGTTTGGTTTATATTCAGTGAGCATATCTGCAATATTGAGGTCCTAGGCCATTGAATGATTTATATACCAGTAATAATACTTTAAAATCAATCCTAAATGTAACTGGGAGCCAGTGTAAAGACCTGAGGACTGGTGTGATATGTTCATATTTTCTGGTCCTGCTCAGAATCCTGGCAGCAGCGTTCTGTATGAGCTGCAACTGTCTTATGGTCTTTTTAGGAAGGCCAGTGAATAGTCCATTACAATAATCCACCCTGCTGGTGATAAAAGCATGCACACGTTTCTCTAAGTCCTGACTGGAAACAAATCATCTAATTCTTGCAATATTTTTCAAATGATAGTATGCTGATTTAGTAATTGCTTTGACATGACTACTGAAACTAAGGTCTGACTCTAGAGACACACCAAGATTCCTGACTTGATTTTTAGTTGTTAGACTCCTAGAGTCAAGGTATGCATTCACCTTGAGAACTTCATCTTTGTTTCCAAATGCAATGACTTCAGTTTTGTCTTTGTTTAACTGAAGAAAGTTTTGGCACATCCAACCGTTTACTTCATCAATGCATTGGCACAGGGAGTCAATGGGGCTGTAGTCGTTAGGCGATAGGGCTAAGTAGAGCTGTGTGTCGTCTGCATAGCTGTGGTAAGAGATTCGGTTCTTTCTCATTATTTGGCTCATTGGGAGCATATACAGGTTGAATAGGAGTGGCGCAAGAATTGAGCCTTGAGGGACTCCGCATGTCATGGATGTCCACTCAGACTTATGGTCTCCTATACTCACATAATAACCTCTCCCTTCTAAGTATGACCTGAACCATTTTAGGACTATCCCAGAAAGCCCCACCCAGTTCCCTTTCGAGGGAACTCCAACTGCGTCGAATGACACTTTGGGGGAACGCCCCTCAGCGTAGCGCCTCTGAAGAATGAATGAAACTAAGCCAATCTCCGATTGGTGTTACTTCATGACGTAATGTGTGACGGCACATGGCGGAAGCTATAAAGGGTCGCCGGCCACATGAAATGTCAGCTTTTTGTTCTTCAGCAAGCGCTCTGTGTCAAACTGTCAGTCTTATTTGGTGTTGTTTGTCCCATAAGAATTGTCCTAAATTATTGCAATATGGAATCTAGTGGCTCGGATCTCGCGTTTGCCGAGGCAGCGTGTAGATTACGGGTCTACTCAGCAATAAAGATTCTGTGACAGATCTCGCGTTTGCCGAGGCAGCGCGTAGATTAAAGGTCTGCATTGCAATTCAGAATCTAGTGGCTCGGATCTCGCTTTTGCCGAGGCAGCATGTAGACGGGTCTACTTTTGCAATAAAGATTCTGTGACTGGGATTGCGCGTTTGCCGAGGCAGCGTGTAGATTTAAGGTCTGCATTGCAATACAGAATCTATAGTGGCTCGGATCTCGCGTTTGCCGAGGCAGCGTGTAGATTACGAGTCTACTTTGCAATTAGATTCTGTGACTGGGATCTCGCGTTTGCCGAGGCAGCGCGTAGATTTAAGGTCTGCATTGCAATAAAGAATCTAGTGACTCGGATCTCGCGTTTGTTGAGGCAGCGCGTAGATTCGGTCTACTCTGCAATAAAGATTCTGTGACTGGGATCTCGCGTTTGCCGAGGCAGCGCGTAGATTTAAGGTCTGCATTGCAATAAAGAATCTATAGTGACTCGGATCTCGCTTTGTCGAGGCAGCGCGTAGATTCGGTCTACTCTGCAATAAAGATTCTGTGTGGGTGCGAGGCATGCACAGTCAGCTCCTGAGGGCGCTGGCTGTGTTCATTGAGAAATATCTCGACGCACACACAGCCGTGTGTTCGGGTGTTTCAGCCTCGCGCCCATTGACTTTCTTCTCGAGAGATGAAAGCCAAATATATTGTGAATGACTCGAATCTCGCCGTTGCCGAGGCAGCGCGTAGATTACGAGTCTACAATAATAGGGACACACAATCTGGGAATTAATACAGTTTTGTGCGAGGCATTCACAGTCAGCTCCTGAGGGTGCTGGCAGTGTTCATTGAGAAATATCTCGATGTGTAGGCCTACAAAATTAACCACGCGCTGTCGGATGTTTCAGCCTCACACCTGTTGACTTTCTTCTCGAGGGATGAAAGCCAAATATATTGTTACCGCTCGACTCTCGCGTTTGCCGAGGCAGCATGTAGATTACGGACTGTAATAATATTAAAACAGTATTTTTTGGTGAAAGAGTACCGCTTCTAGAGCCCCTCCTCAAGGAGCTTGGGGACACCTGAGGGTCGTCCTGCAGGGTAAGAAGGCTTCCTCAAAGAGGTCCTAGCCAGCCTAGGATGTCTGCGGGCGGCCCCACCCGTGGTGGAGCGACCGAGGTCGTCTCTTTCGCGGAGCCCGCAGGAAATCGATGTTGCTCTCCCGCCGTTAAACACGCTTCGGGACACATCGGTATCCAGCGAACGCAGGCTGCACTGTCCGCCCCACAGGCTTGCGGTCAGGCAGCATTCGCATCCGCCCATCGAGAATCGTTTTCGGTTCAGCCCTGCCGGGAATCCGCTTCAGGGGGCCGAGAACGAATCCCGATTAATACCCAAAACCAGGCTCGAGAGCTTGGTTCCCTTGGTAAAATATTTCGAGGCATGGAAAAATCTGACGAATATTTCTCCTTGGGCCCTGCGCACCATTCAAAATGGGTACAGGCTGCAGTTTAGTTCCCGCCCACCCAGATTCAACGGGGTGGTCTGGACTGTAGTCGACCCAGGGCAGGGTCGGGTATTGGAACAGGAAGTAAACTCCTTGCTGGCAAAGGAGGCTATAAATCGTATTCCTCCACCGGACAGGGAGTCCGGGTTGTACAGCCGCTACTTCATAGTTCCCAAGAAGGATGGGGGGTTGCGTCCAATATTAGATCTCAGGCACCTGAACCGTTCTCTGAGGAGATTCAGGTTCAGGATGCTCACTGTTCCCATTATCGTGAGTCAAATTCAATCCGAGGATTGGTTTGTCACTGTCAGATATAGCCAAGTAGTAAGGCACAAGGACACAGGATTTCCAACAAAAATGGGTTTTATTTTACCCAAAAAAATTAAGAAAAAGTCCCAATTAAAGGAAACAAAATAAATCAACTTGTTCTAACAAAAAATCTAGCTAGACTTAAATAAACTAAAGTAAACAAAAACAAATTTTAACGCAATATAACGAGAACTAAGGAGAACTGAACAACACAAACATTACCCCCCAAATGAGACAACCAACAGGTATTTATCCCAGACGGTGAGCTCACTTAAACAAGACAGGGGAAATCATACAATCAACAATTCATAAATCAACAAATTAGTTACAAGTTAACTAATCAAAGTAAATAAAGTAACAAACAAACAATATAAGAATACAAACCAACAAGTGTAAAATAGAAATAAATTGGAACCAATCAAAACCATAAATTTCATCATGTCCTTGTGAGGTCAGACAACATGTCGGTAGTGGCCTATATAAACCATCAGGGGGGTCTGAGGTCTCGCCCTCTATGCAGACTGGCGCATCAGATCCTCCTGTGGTCCCAGGGGAAACTGTTGTCTCTAAGAGCAACATACATCCCGGGGAGTCAAAATCAGGGAGCAGACATCCTGTCGAGACAGGGGCTGAGGCCCGGGGAATGGAGACTCCACCCCGAGGTGGTGGAGTCAATATCTCAGAGGTTCGGCCCAGTGGAAGTGGACTTGTTCGCGTCTCGAGAGACGACCCACTGTCCACTGTGGTTTTCCCTCTCCCATCCAGCTGGGGTTGGATGCCATGGTGCAGACGTGGCCGAGGCTACGTCTGTACGAATTTCCCCCGATCGCTCTGCTCCCGGGAGTTCTAGAGAGAGTCCGTTGTGACGGGATCAGACTACTGTTGGTAGCCCCGTTGTGGCCGGCCCGAGTATGGTTCTCCAACATAATTTTGCTCCTGGACGGCCCTCCTTGGGAGATTCCCCTCAGGAGGGACCTGCTGACACAGGCAGAGGGCTCAATATTTCACCCTCGGCCCGAGTTATGGAAACTGTGGGTCTGGCCCCTGAGGGGGCACAGTACCTAGAGGCCGGCC